ACTCGTGATTTACGAATTCTTCGAGTGTTCTTCCAACATCCCAAGTGGTTTATCATGCCTCTAAACCATAAAAACTTGTGGTCTATTGCTTTTATAGCGGAGCTCCGGCGGCCCGAAAGGCGAAGGCGACGACGACGACGACGACGGAGTCGCGCATCACGGCGGCCATACTTCAAATAATGGGTTGACAGAGACATGCAGCCTCTGTTTACCCTCTACTTCTTTGATATTGGATATCCATGCTATGATCAATTGACACCTGTCATATCAAGGCATCCGCTGACCAGTATCACGTGACCATATCGCGGGCTCAAGTTTACAGCTCATTGAGGTCACGTGTTGTTTTGAAGTTGACCGCTAACCAAGTGCTGGTTTTCGATTGGATCGCAGGCTCATGTCAGGTTAATTTGTTGAAAAAAGGGCAGGATTGTTTGGAAGCCGGTTAACGCTAACCCAGGATGACAAGTTAACCTAATTATAACTTTTTCTTCTGTACAAATGTTTTTTGCTGCTTTGTTTTGTATATATGGTGACCATCAAAACTCAAAACAGAAGCGGCCGAAAAAAAAATACAAAAAACCTCACCGCAAAGTTACAAAACTCAAATCAAAATTCTACCTTTTCCTGGGTTAGCTTAATCGGGTTCTGAACAACCCGGCCCAGGAGCTACGCTTTTAGGCTGGCCTAAATCTATATATTATAATAATTCAGAAGACACGCGAAATTTCTATGAGTTTACTGGCACAATAAACCATAGCTGATTGACCAATCAGAGCGTGCGCATTCATTTAATTATTGTATAAACTTTGATTATCAAAGTTAACAAGCTTTTTTTCCTTTTTTTCGTCGCGGTATTTTCTAAAAGAAATACGAAACATGTTCCCCGTGTTTCTATCGAGTTATAGAAACACTCGTGAAAGTTTGGAGAACTCGAAAAAGCTGTGGAAACACTTGCCTGCGGCTCGTGTTCACACAACATTCCTCGTTCTCCCAAACTTCCACTCGTGTTTCTCTTAAACAATTAGATCATGAACTCGAGATTTCTATCGCGTGATAGTTGACGAAGGCACAGCCCGAGTCAAGTATCGCACGATAGAAATCGAGAGCGAATAATCTAATTGTTTTAGTATAAATCTACTATTCGTTCAAAACTTAATCTAAATCCTCTTCACAGACGCTTCGAAAACGCTAAGAAGCGGCCGTCATTTTGTTAACAAGGGTACACTGCCACGCTACTCACTATCTATCACAAAATAGATAGTGGATAGCGTAACCAATCAGAGAACGGCATCCGTGATGGAACGCCAGCAGATTTATACTAAAACTCGATAGAAACACGATACATGTTTTCTATTTCTTAAATGGAGTAGTAATTTCAATCAGAGAAATTACTGTCTCGCCAGTGGTTAACGGGACCACCCCAGAGATTTTGTTTTCATGACACCCTCAAAGCAAATGCCCATAACTTATAACATAAAATATAAAATAAGCCTGATATGAGTACCGAAAAGGCATTATTTTACCTTGAATAACAATTAATTGCAAAAAAATAAGCTATATAATAAGGAGGTTAATAAGATACCTTTAGGCTCCGCAGTCAATTCGGCTGACGCACCTGCAAGTTAAGTAATAATTGTGTTTGATTTAATGCAAAGAAATTTACTGTGTCTGTTAGATTGAACTCAAGAGGGGTTTACAGTAGAACCTCAATTTAGCCGCCAGTCAGTATAAGTATTAGTCAGTATCAATGTCCCTAAATTGTTGTCAGTAAAATGCTCCTTTGGCCACCTCTATTGAGCGGCCGTGGCAACCTTTTGGTCGTCCAGATGAGGGTTTCCCTATTGTTCTTTATCTCTCTTAAAAAGCTACCCAAAATTTAATACATCGAGTCTGAACTAGAAAGTGATGACTGATGAAAACATTCAAACACACGATTATCATAGTTGTCTTGACATAATTGCATGTTCACTAAGAAATTAACCCTATCCTCTATTTTCCAATTGCCCATAATTCACTCTGTTTAACCCTCAAATGTTGCATAGCCTATTGTTGTGAAATGCTCTTGGAAGGTCTACAAATTCCCGAGAGCATTTCACAACAACAGTTTATCCAAAATTTGGGGGGCAAACAACAACAACAACAACAACAATAAGATCTATTCATACACACATGAAAATGGAGAAGAGAACAAAAATTGATACAACTTATGTAGAGTATAAGGCCACCTAGAAAATAACTAAAAAGCTAATCTGCTGGCTAGGAGGCGTGGAAATAGTCAAATTGCAATAATAGTAGTTGTCAAATGAAGGCACAAGTATAAAAGCAAAATTACAAACAAAATCAACAACAGCAACAGGAGAGAGAAGATAAAGATTGATAAATAGGAATCGAAAATAACCTCTTTTAAGGAACGTTTAAAAGAGTGAATTATGAGCAGCTGAAAAACAGAGAATGGTGAAAAAATATTTAAAGTACACCAACCCCTATGTTGAACGGCCACCTCCCATTTCCCTCAGGTTGACCGGCTAATAGGGGTTTGGTTGTATTTAAAACTTAGTCTTTTTTGTAGACCCAGGGTTACTTGAGACCGGCGTTTATTAGGAGGTCATTTTTCACATGATGTACAATACTCCGTCCACGCTACGTCGGATAATTTTGAAAATGGTCTTTCCACTTTAAAAACGCATCAAATGTTTTCTGTCTAAAGAAGAAAACGGATAAATTGTTTCCCGTCCACACTATACCGGAGACTTTTGAAAACGCAACAGTCACCGGAGGCATAAACGCTTAAGTGCACGCTTGAACTTGCGCATGCGCACTACCCGCTTGTTGCTCCCATCATTTCGACCGCAATTTTGGATTTGAGTTTGAGAAAGATTCGGGCAGGTAAATCGATGATTCTCGTGACCTCATTGTTTTTGAAAAGCTCCGTCTTCAAAATGTTTTCTTCCACACTAAAACGTAAAGTCGGCATGTTCATATTCATATGAATAGTACGCCTAACAGAAGAAATAATATTGCATTTTTAAATTTCTCCAGCGATTGTCGACCGGGCCTTAAACACGGGTATTTTTTGATCACTTTTGTTAATTAATTCTGTTGTTATTAATTAAAATCTCTCAAATAATTTTTCTCAATTGAATCAAAATTGTACTTTACACTAATAAGGCTTCTAAAACGGATTTCCCATTAATTTGAGTATTTAAACCAGCAAGTAAACACGTTAGCTATGAGGCACGTTCTCAAATACGTTTCCATTTTAATCAAAACTATAACAAAATTCTCGAACGTGACTGGCTATCAGCAGCCCCATTTGAGCATTAATTGGACAGTGTACGCGTCATGCTTGTAATTTGACAATACGCGTCATTTTGCGCGCGCTGTTGCGGTGCACTTTGTTGAGTTAACTGCTGTGTTTTTCAGCATTCATAACGACGTTTAATCGTTCAGTGCTCAATCGATGGTTTGTTCGTTTCTCGAATGTTGTCGTAGTTTTGATTAATTGGTAACAGGTCATCGTGTCGTCTAATTCAGTCTGTAATCATACTCGTGATTAACAAATCGAACTTCCGCTTCGCGGTGGTCCGATTTTGTTAATCTCTCGTATGATTAGAGACCGAATTGGACTCCACTCAGTCCTATTACCATTATTAATCAGGTTTTTATAGAATTAGACTTTTTATTAATTTTTAATTGTTCTTTATTCAGAGAGCCACTGGTTCATCAGTTGTTAAAAATATTATGTGAAATAAAGATTGACTGACTGACTGGTTGATTGATTGATTGATTGATTGATTGATTGATTGATTGATTGATTGATTGATTGATTGATTGATTGATTGATTGATTGATTGATTGATTGGTGGGACTTACATAAATTGTTAGTTAAATTACCTGCGGTTGAAGCAGTCGATTTAGGTCGCTTGGGCTCCGGCTCCAAGTGTTCTGCTGATGCACCTTCAATTGAAACATCGCAAATATCAAATCCCTCGCCATTTTTTCTCTCAAAACCTATCCGTTTTTTACGTTTCAATAGAAATAATCGCTAATAAAAAAACGCATACAAAACTAAACAAAACAAAATATTTCACCGTACTCCATGAAAACGGGTCAAAGATCGCTACCAGAATTGATACGTCGTAGCTAATTTTAGGTTAGACTATTTGACTACTCATCCATGTCCAATACACCCAAACTGAGTCGATTCGTCTGAGGCACTTTACGATTCGACTCGATTCGCACGGAGTCGATCCGCACCACTGGAAGTCAAGACCCGTGAAATGACGATACATGAACGTTTGTCGTTCCTAAAACGTGACCGTACTCCATGAAAATGGGTCAAAGATCGCTACCAGAATTGATACGTCGTAGCTAATTCTAGGTTAGACTTTTCATCCATGTCCAATACACCCAAACTTGAGTCGATTCGTGTGAGGTTCTTGACGATTCGACTCGATTCGCACGGAGTCGATCCGCACAACCGGAAGTCAAGACCCGTGAAATAATGATACATAAACGTAATACAGTACACTTTGTTTTATAAATGCAAAAAAAAAAAAAAAAAAAAAAATTGGGACATTACTTGCAGCTTCTGGATCAGCAATCCGTTTGGGAGTGGTATTTGGACCGGATGTTTCTGCATACCCCTCTATAATGAAAAGTTAGACACATTACTATACTTTGTAGTTACCATCTGTCTTCTCATTGGCTAAAAGCCTACAGTCAATTCTGGGAAACAGCACAACCTACAGATTATTGAATAATCCGTAGGTTGCGCGCGCAATGCATGATTTCCAAGAGCAATGTCAAGTTCACAGGACAGCGCAGTAAGGACATGGCTTGACGAAAATAAACCGTGTTCGGTGCGATAATGCGTTTGTCGTTATTTTCTTTAAAACAATGTGTAATAAAACAATTATTAGATTCGGTTTTTGTGATATCCGAAATAATCAAGGTCTCGGTTAGTGTTAGCCGAAGGCTGAGGCTGATAACACTAATGATGTATCACAAAAACCTCATCCAATAATTGTTTAATATTTAGTTATGATAAAATAATGAAACCATAGGGAGGGGGAGAGCTGTGAGGATCAGCAAGCCACTGCATTAAGGGAACTTCAGTGTGGTAAAGTATAGTAATCAAGTTCATTTCCTTGCGACATGTATTGGCAGTATTGTTTTTCTAAATATAATACAACGAGAACAACGATAAAGAAGTGACGAATATTCCAGCTGCGGTAAGGTAGAAGGAATACTCATTGAGAAGAAGCGATGACAGCACGGGAATATGTTCGTAGGGGGTCGGCACATGGGAGTTAAATCAAATGTCAGTCATCAGCAACATTGTCGGCCTTTTCTCATCCATGAGTAAAACTTTCAGCCTATAATGTACGAGTGAGACACTATTAGACAAGCTTAGATCTTCCAAACACTACTTAACCCATGTCTAATTACGCAGAAGTCTAACAACTTCGTTCACGGAAAAAAAATCTGCTTTTTTCCGCCAAGCATTAAGTAAGTAGCAAAAGATATGTCAGTGGAGTTTGAGTAGCCATGGCCAATCAGAGCGCACAAAAATTGAGTATATACGAATAATACAATATTCCTCTGACAAAAATTACCAAGTGTTGCAATTTCACTGCAACCGTAGAATGATCTTGGCGAATCTTGTTTTCGACGACAAGATATCATTTAAAGTTAGGTAGTAAACTATCGTTAGCTATCCTTCAACATTTAAACCTCCTGATCATTTTCTTTAAGTTTAAATGCATACCTGCCACTATGGCCGTAACAAGGTCGACCAGATTGTTGCACTGTTTCTCCCAACTGTATTCCTCCTTATAGCCGGTACGTAGAGCGTCAGACTCCTTTAGACGAAGTTTTCGATTCTTTGCCCAGACCCCCTTGATTCCCTCAGCCCATTCCTTTGGCTCGTCCGATTTAATGACGCAACCAGACGCAAACGGAACATTCGCTAGGGCTTTTCCAAATCCCGAGTTTGCGCTTACAAGAATCGGCAGACCTGCTGATAGAGCTTCAAGGGCCACCAGTCCAAAACCCTCCGTTCTCGATGGCATGATGGCTACATCTACCTCACGGAAAAGCTCTCCTAATTTCTCCCGGCTTTCTAGAAAGGTCCTCACTCTCAGTCGCTCCCGAGGGATGCCGCACTGCTGCAGATTATCTGCAACCCCATCTTGCTGTTTGTTGGCTGCGCCGACAAAAATGAGGATTGCGTCCTGTAGCTGGCCTACAGCTTTAGGTGCAATGTCATAACCCTTCAGTTTAAAATCTTCTGCATCACCTCGGCCAAACGCCAGAACTCTGCACTTGTCTCCGTCTTGAGATGCTTGCTCCACACCAGAAAACTCTTCGAAAATGCCTGGGGTGAGATCAAAAACGCGTTGGTCTTTGCCGTGGGATCGGAGGTATGAGCGATAGGCTTCTGCCAGTTTAGGTCCCACCGCTACAACAAAGTCGGCCATTGCACAAAGTTCCACTTCAGTCTGATGCTTCTGTTCACCTTTTTGAATACGATCGGAGTAATCTTTAAACATTCCGAGTTCCTCAGGGTCTGTGTGGACGAACTGAATCCACTTACATCGGCGGTTTTCTTGTATAATTTGTGCTTGACTTCCTAGTACTACCCCATGACCAATCACGACGTCAATTTGGAGGTCGTCCGGAGGAAAGCAGAGCCAATTTTTTTCATCTAAACCAGGTCTCCTCTTCGGCTGGGCAAG